GTGTTGTCTACGAGTGTCACCTTACCCAAACAAACATAAATCTCTCAGCCTACGACCACGTACGCCGTGACCTCCCAGATTTTTTTTACAGATTGCCCACGAGGGGCTAGTTTATTGGGCACCCCCTTACATCCTGTGCAAGGTGAAGCGCAGAAGCGTTTACAGTGCCCAACTGGGAAGCATGCGGAGTTCATGCTTGCCTTTATGACTCATGCATTAAGGGCGTAAAAGGCCTGAAGGATCATGGGTTTTGTCAGCAAATTACATAAAGTGACAATGATGTGTGTGTGGGGGGAAAATTCCCAGTACAATTTATCGGTTTATGGCAAAGCGTGGCAGGTCCCTAATAATGTCAAGTGCCAGGCCTGTCACTAGGAGGAGGGATATCTGGTCAGGGAGGGAAGAGGTGCCACCCCTGTAGGGGGAGGTCATAGGGCAAATGAGGATGTGTTGAAAGAGGGTGTGAGAGTCTGTTGACCACAAAGTTTACAAACAGTGCGGCCAGGCTCAGGGTTGCCAATGTACTAGGCGTGGCGAAGTACAGTGGGGGTGGAGGTGATATGGTATGGTGGGGCAGGTACAGTAGGGGTGAGGGGAGGCACATAGGCATTGACAACATTGAGGGACACACCTTTTAGTGTTATTGTGATGGTGTGTTCGTCGATATGTCGGTGGGGTACAGGTAGCCGGGGGTGGTGTCCTCAGGTCCAGGTAGCCCTGGTGGAGACAGCTCAGACACGGGAGCTTGCGGTGGTTGGAGGACAGGTTGAGGCACCAAGTGTTGTGAGGATGGGGCAGGACTTCGCTCGGGGGCAGCAGGACACACCAGGGCAGGCCCGGTAGGCGCTACACCAGTAGTGAAGGCCGCCGGCGGTGGAGTAGGCCGTGAGCAGGGGGGGCTCACAGGGGGACCAACAGCTTGTGTCAAACCAGCAGAGAGGAGTAACTGGGTGGCAACAGAGGGCAGGAGTAGGTCGGAGATGGTGGTACAGAGTGTAGCGAAGAGTTGTTCAATACGGTTGGTAAATTCTTGGAAGAGGGATATGATCTGTGTCATGTCACTGGCGGGGGGTTGTGGGAGGGGCACCGGTGGAAGCACAAGGCCTGACAGCCTCAGAGTAGAGTAGGAGACGGCCGGGACTGCTGTGACCTCCCTTGTTGACTGTAGAGGTGCTGTGACTCCCATGTGACCTCGCCAGATGTTGTAAAAGTCGCAGCCATAGAACAAGTGTTTCGGAGTGTTACTCCCGAGGGGAACCGCATGGGCAGTATTAATAATTTTTTTTGAAATAGTTTAGTTATGAGAGTATCGAAGATGTAGGAGAGGGGAGTGGAACGAACTGAAGGGATGTTACAGCCGAGCAGTCCTGGTTTCTGCCAGTAGACAGTTCTGCAAGTGGCTGTGAGTGTCTGGCCTTCCCTAACTCTCAGACCACCCTTTACAGCCATACTGCGAGTATCTCCACCCGCTGCTGGCAGTAGTGAACACACCAACTCACAATCCTGTCCCTGAGTTTTGTGCTAAAACAATTTACGCAGTACTGTTGTTTCTTGGAACACCATACTGATTTACATTGACCCGCACTTGTAAGTACAGCCTACTTGATGCGTATCCCTCAGTACTGAAATATTGTGGACTAATTATGTCGACTCGTTTTCTGCTTTATCTGGAGCAATAAGACAATGTGGAATAAAGTGCAATTGAGATTAATCTTATGTAGTTAAGATAAAATTGTGTGAGATTAACAAATTATGTATCAGATGGATCACCCTGTAATTCTAATGAACGCCTTGTTCTCTGCAGGTTTTGACCACATCAGTAAATACTGAGTGCGTCAAAAGGCGGGTTTCAATCATTCCCATTGACTTGCCTGTCACCCGCCCGTCCTTAACTAAGGCGTTTACAATGATGATAATGATGATGATGATGATGATGATGACAATAATAATAATGTTGAGGCAGGAGATACACACTAACTATGACTCTTGTCTGGGAGGAGGAGTTAAAATGCTGAGAACTTTAAGGGCAAACTTCTCTGAGTAAATACGTTTATGTGTGTGTGTGTGTGTGTGTGTGTGTGTGTGTGTGTGTGTGTGTGTGCGTGCGCGCACGCGTGCGTGTTTGTGTGTGTGTGTGTGTGTGCGCGCGCGCGTGTGTGTGTGTGTGTGTGTGTGTGTGTGTGTGTGTGTGTGTGTGTGTGTGTGTGTGTGTGTGTGTGTGTGTGTGTGCTGGCGTGTGTGTGTGTGTGTGTGTGTGTGCGCGTGTGTGTGTGTGTGTGTGTGTGTGTGTTGTTGTGTGCGTGTCCCAGTGTGTGTGTGTGTGTGTGTGTGTGTGTGTGTGCCGGTGTTGGTGTATGTGTGTATGTCGGGTTGTTGTTGTTGTTGTTTTCGCAGGTAAAGAAACAGACTACACCTAGCCTTCCCTCACCTGATGTATCCCAATCTGTTGACCTAAATATTTAATAACAGGTGTGACCATGAAGTAATTAATACCTGCACTAACGAGGGCAGATAATTGCACACCTGTCAGCCTTGCCCGGAGACAGTCTTTCGTTGTATATGAGTTAAGCCTTGAGGTGAGTTTAGTCTTTTTGGTGAATTAAGACTTTTTGATGAGTTAAGTCTTTTTGACGTATTAAGTCTTTTGGTAAGCTAAGTCTTTTTGATGAATTAAGTTTTTTGTTTTTTAAGTCTTAGGATGAGTTAGCCAGGATGGGCACAAATAAAGCACACAGTTACCCACCACAACATCTAGGCTTTCAGACTTTCACTCCAGTTGTTATATAATTAGTACACACAAGATGAATTTAAGAAAACATATCAATAAAAGTTTAATTAATCACACAACCGTAATTTAGTTTTTGAAGTCTTAATCCACGGTTGACTTATTATCTCTATTATTATTATTATTATTATTATTATTATTATTATTATTATTATTATTATTATTATTATTATTATTATTAATGTTGTTATTATTATTATTATTATTATTATTATTATTATTATTATTATTATTATTATTATTATTATTATTATTATTATTATTGTTGTTGTTGTTGTTGTTATTATTTAAATCATTCTTGTTTTATTAATATTATGATTACTACATTATTTATTAAGTGATTAAGTACAGCCTATGTTATATTGTACACGCCTAGACAACGATAGGAGTCACTCGGGGAAGACTTATCACGAACAGAGAGAAGAAGAAACTCGTCCTCACCTGCATTTGTCTGTGAGCGCAGGTGTGAGTAGGTAGGCCATGAGAAGTCTTGAGTATTGGGGGCGGCGAAGTAGTGGGCGCTAGGGTGGTGGGTGGCAGAGTGGTGGGCGGCATAGTATGGGTAGGGTTGGAGGTTGGAGGTGGAGCAGGGGGGCGGCGCACTCTCTGACGCACCAGAAGGCCCAGTAGCAGCAGGAGCAACACTATACCCACTGAGGCGCCCACCACCACCGACACCAGAGCTGGTACTCCCGCCACCTCCTCTCCCAACACACTGTGGAGACATACACCAACTGTTAAACACTTATTACACACACACACACACACACACACACACACACACACACGAAGCTCCTCGGCGTCACCATAGACAACAAACTAAATTGGAAACCACACGTCAGTGAAGTTGTCAAATCCTCCAGTTTCCGTCTCCACCTCCTCCGCCGACTCAAGTCCCTCGGAGTTCCTGCACACGAGCTCCTCAGTGTTTACACAACATTAATACTTCCCAAGCTCACCTATGCCTCCCCCACCTGGTCTTCCTCCCTAAATGCCACACAACATAAACACCTAGAAAAAGTGCAAAAGAGGGCATGCAAGATTATTCTCTCCCCTTCCTACTCCACATATCAAGAAGCGCTCAACACACTGACCCTTTCGACTCTCACTGACCATCACCACGACCTCATCTGCAAATTTGGTAAGAAGCTTCTACACCATCCTCGACACCGGCTCCTACTACCACCTAAGATCCCTAGTCCGAGAATTGCTGTTCGACACCACAACCGCATCCAGCCCATACGTGCACGAACTGATCGCTATAAGAACAGCCCAGTACCAACCATTGTAAAAATTATCAATAACTTGTAATAAACCAGTGTATTCACTCCCAGTAAACACTACTCCTTGCACTGTCACTATGTTGAAATGAACTGTAGTTTGAGCTTTTCCCCATCTAGTTATTATATGTCTTATTTGTGTCACTTATGTTACTTGTATATTATTTGTAATTCGAAACCCATTCCCCAAATATGTAACTGTATATTTTCAGCCTTCTGGCTGCCAAGCTCTTTCAATAAACCGTTAATTATTATTATTAATTATTATTACACTCACACACACACACACGGGAGCAGAATAAGATTACTTCAGAAACGTCAGTAATAGTACAAGTTGAGTCATAATATAGTAAATATTAATTATATTGTGGTGACACTGTCGCAAAAGTGCTGCCTAAATAAAAATGAACCTAACCTAACCTAACCTAACCTAAGCCTTTTCGGTTGCCGGACTCCTTGATGCCCCAGAAAATTTCCTTCTATCCTTTGTGAAAAATAAGACATCGATCGTGATGCTACTTTATTCTCCAAAAAAATTCACAAACAGATCAAATGGCTCAACGACACACTTAGAAGTACTTAGATTTATTCAGTAATATAGCCAGTCAAGTAGAGGCATTTGTTTACGTCAGTTTGTGATTCTTTTGTTGTTGTTTTTGACGGATACTGTTCGTGTAGCGAGCAACTTTCTTTGAAATGGCCACACACGTCATCACCTGCCTCGAATCCACAATCCATTTGTGAGCCACAAAAATATCTCCATGAGAGATGTAGTCCTGGAGGAAGAGATCACCTCCTGCACATGTTCTTTTACCTCACTGACGATGAACATGTTTCCTACCCCCAGTAGATGAGTCCACCCTAGGTTAAGAACCAATAACCTAGCCCAGCCCAGCTCAGCCCACCCTAACCCCCATGTGAAATTAGATGGGGAACCTAGCCGTCACGTGACGACCGTGTAATGTGATCATGAGTGTAAAGTCGTACACTACATGAAGTGTCTGTGCAGTACAGTACAGTACGTGAGGCCAAAGTCATCAACACTGACAGTCACCTATTATTCCGGTCAGAGCCACCACTATCACCACCACTATCACCACCACTATCACCACCACTATCACCACCACTATCCACCACTATCACCACCATCACCACCACTATCACCACCATCACCACCACTATCACCACCACTATCACCACCACTATCACAACCACCATCACCACCACTATCACCACCATCACCACCACTATCACCACTAATATCACCACTATCACCACCACTATCATTACCGCTATCATCCACCACCACCACTATAACCACCACTATCACCACTATCACTACCACTATCACCACTATCACCACCACTATCACCACCACTCTCACCATCACCACCACTATAACCACCACTATCACCACCACTATCACCACCACCATCACCACCCTATTACCACCACTATAACAACCACTATCACCACCACCATCACCACCACCACTATCACCACCACTATCACCACCACTATCACCACCACCATCACCACCACTCACCACCACTATAACACCACTATCTTCACCACTATCACCACCACTATCACCACCACTATCACCACTATAACCACCACTATCATCACCACTATACCACCACTATCACCACTATCACCGCCACTATCATCACCACCACTATCACCACCACTATCACCACCACCATCACCACCACTCCACCGCCACAATAATCACCAATACTACCGCCACTATCACCACTATCATTACCATCACCACCACTATCACCACCATCACTACCACCAGTACAACCACCATCAATACAAACACTATCATCACCACCACTATCACCACCATAACCACCAACACAACCACCACTATCACAACCTACACTACCACCACTATCACCACCAACACTACCACCACTATCATCACCACCACTATCATCACCACCACTATCACCACCATCACTACCACCAGTACAACCACCATCAATACAAACACTATCATCACCACCACTATCACCACCATCACTATCACCACTATCACTACCACAACTATCACCAACACTACTAACACCACTATCACTACCACCACTACCACCACCATCACCATTATCACCACTAATTTCACAACCACTATAAATACTATCATCACCACTATCACCACCACTATCACCACTATCACCACCACTATCACCACCACCACCACTATAACCACCACATCAATTGCTATTTCACTCATCACCCACCAATTACTAAATCACTATAACCACCACTATCATCACACTATCACCACCACTACCACCACTATCATCACCACTAATATCACACTATCACCACCACTATCACCACTATCACCACCTCACTATCACACTATCACCACTGACTATAACCACTGACTATCACTGGTTGATCATCACCACCACTCACAACCACTATAACCACCACTATCATCACCACTATCACCACCACTCTCACCACCACTATCATCACTATCATCACCACTATCACCACCACTCTCACCACCACTATCACCACCACTATCATCACCACTATCACCACCACTATCACCACTATCACCATCACCTCGCTACAGTCATTAGCCTCTACCTGGTGCCGCTGGTGTTGCCTGCGGTGTTGGCACTGCCACTGTCACTGCCGTCACTGCCACTGCTGCCTTCCCTCACTTCTGCCACTACTGTCAAGGAAGAAGTAGAATACACGTTGTAAGCTTCTCTAGGGACATCACCACATATATTACTGTATGACTGATCCGTGACCTTTGACCTACAGTATGAGGTCACCAGCCTAGTATCTTTACCGCTTCTTGAATATGAATGTCGAAATGTCCACAAAAAGTTTGAAACATATTATTAAAGTAATTTGTTTTGTATCTGAGCTTAAGTGAGTCAGACGGCAGAGAATAGCCTCCTCTCTTACCAGGCTCTTGTGTCACTCTTGCCCGCAGCTACAACACTGTGTCTGCTCCAGCTGTTGATGATATTCACTGATCCTGTGGGTGGTGGGTGGGCGGTGTGCTGGTGGGTGGGTGACGGGTGGGTGTGTGGCGGGTGGGGAGTATGCTGGTGGGTGGTATGCTGGTGGGTGGGTGGTGGGTGGGTGGGCGTTATCCTGGTGGATGGGTGGCAGGTGTGTGTGTGGTGGGGAGTATGCTGGTGGGTGGTATGCTGGTGGGTGGTATGCTGGTGGTAGGTAGTGGGTGGGCGTTATCCTGGTGGATGGGTGGCAGGTGGGTGTGTGGCAGGTGGGGAGTATGCTGGTGGGTGGTATGCTGGTGGGTGGTATGCTGGGTGGGGGAGTGGGTGGGCGTTATCCTGGTGGATGGGTGGCGGGTGGGTGTGTGGGTGGGGAGATGCTGGTGGGTGGTATACTGGTGGGTGGTATGCTGGTGGGTGGTATGCTGGTGGTGGTATGCTGGTGGATGGGTGGTGTGGGTCTGGTGTGGTGGGTGGTGGGTGGTGTGGTATGCTGGTGCTGGTGGGTGGTATGCTGGTGGGTGGTGGTACGGGTGGGTGGGTGGTGGGTGGTGGGTGGTTGTAGTGGTGTGTGGTATGCTGGTGGTTGGTATGCTGGTGGATGGTGGTGGTGGTATGCTGGTGTGTGGGTGGTGGTGGGCGGTATGCTGGTGTGTGGTATGCTGGTGGGTGGTATGCTGGTGGGTGATATGTGGTGGTGGTGTGGGTGGGGTGGGTGGCGGTGGGTGGTGGTGGGTGGGTATGGTGGTATGCTGTGGTGTATGCTGGTGGGTGGCATTGGTGGTGGGTGGTGTGTGGTCTGGGTGGTGGTATGCTGGAGGATGGGTGGTGGGTGGGTGGTATGCTGGTGTGTCGTATGCTGTGTGGGTGGTGGGTGGTATATGGTGCGGTGTGTATGCTGGTGGGTGGTATGCTGGTGGGTGGGTATGCTGGTGGGTGGGTGGTGGTGGGCGGTATGCTGGTGTGTGGTATGCTGGTGGGTGGTATGCTGGTGTGTGGTATGCTGGTGGGTGGTATGCTGGTGATGGTGGATAGGGGTAAGCTGGTGGTGGGTGGTGGGTGGGTATGCTGCTGGTGGGTGGGTGGTGGGTGGATGCTGGTGGGTGGGTATGCTGGTGGGTGGGTGGTGGGTGGGTGGGTGGGTGGTGGGTGGGGTGGGTGGGTGGTCGGTGGGTGGTATGCTGGTGGGTGGGTGGTGCTGGGTAGTATGCTGGTGGGGTGGGTGGTATGCTGGTGGGTGGGTGACTGGTGGGGGTATGACAGTGGGTGGTATGTTGGTGGGTGGGTGGTGGGTGCTGGGTGGGCTGGGTGATTGGTGGGGTATGATGGGTGGTGGTGGTGGTGGTGTGCTGGTGGGTGGGTGACTGGTGGGGGGTAGTGCTGACGGTGGGTGGTATGCTGGTGGGTGGGTGGTATGCTGGTGGGTGGGTGGTATGGTGGATGGTGGTGGGTGTGGGTGGATGCTGGTGGGTGGGGGTGTGGTGGATGCTGGTGGGTGGGTGGTATGCTGGTGGGTGGTGGTGCTGGTGGATGCTGGATGGTGGGTGGGTGTTATGCTGGTGGATGGGTGGTGGGTGGGTGGTATGCTGGTGGATGGGTGGCGGGTGGGGGTATGTGGGTGGTATGCTGGTGGGTGGTGGTGGTGTGGTGGTGGGTGGGTGGGGGTGTGGTGGGTGGTGGGTGGGTGGGGGTGGTATGCTGGGGTGGGTGGTGGGTGGGTGGGTGGGATGGGTGGGTGTGGGGGGTATGCTGGTGGGTGGGTGGTGGGTGGGTGGTGGGTGGTGTAGGTATGGGTGGGTTGGTGGTGGCTGGTGGTGGGGTGGGGGGTATGCTGTGGTGGTGGGTGGGTGGGTGGGTGGTGGGTATGCTGGTGGGTGGGTGGATGGGTGGTGCGGATGGGTGGGTGGTACGCTGGTGAGTGTGGGTGGGTGGCGCATTGGTAGTAAACTGGTGGGTGGGTGGCGGGTGGGGTGTATGTTGGTGGGTGGGTGGTGAGTGGGTGGTATGCTGGCGGGTGGATGGCAGGTAGGTGATGGGTGGGTGGTTATGCTGATGGGTCATTATGTGGGTTGTACTCCCTGCGGATAGTGTGCTTGTGTGTGGGTAGTTGGGTGGTTGGGCGGCATAATGATGGTTTGGGGGTGGGTGGGCAGAGTGTTGATGAATGAGTGGGTGGTACTTACCGTGGGCGGTGTGCTGGTGGGTGGGCGGGTGGGTGGTGAAGGCTCGCAGGTGTACTGAGGGACTGGCGCCCTTGTCGTTGGCCGCCCACACTTGAAGGCGATAAGTGGCGTCCGGCTCCAGCTGTCCCACCTGTGGCGACCACCTGTTAGTACAGCTGCCTCTACCACCTGTTAGTACAGCTGCCTCAACCACCTGATAGTGCAGCTGCCTCTACCACCTGTTAGTACAGCTGCCTCTACCACCTGTTAGTACAGCTTCCTCTACCACCTGTTAGTTCAGCTGCCTCTCCCACCTCTTAGTACAGCTGCCTCTACCACCTGTTAGTACAGCTGCCTCTACCTGTTACTGTTAGTAAAGCTGCCTCCACCACCTGCTAGTACAGCTGCCTCTACCACCTGTTAGTACAGCTGTCTCTACCACCTGTTAATACAGCTGCCTCTACCACCTGTTAGTACAGCTGTCTCTACCACCTGTTAATACAGCTGCCTCTACCACCTGTTAGTACAGCTGCCTCTACCACCTGTTAGTACAGCTGCCTCTACCACCTGTTAGTACAGCTGCCTCTACCACCTGTTAGTACAGCTGCCTCTACCACCTGTTAGTACAGCTGCCTCTACCACCTGTTAATACAGCTGCCTCTACCACCTGTTAGTACAGCTGTCTCTACCACCTGTTAGTACAGCTGCCTCTACCACCTGTTACTGTATCATATAGAGTATAAGGTACAAACGTGCCTGTACTTTCATCTCTATATTACAAAATAAAGTCTTACATAATATTGATAATTTTCTCCTTTTAAGACGACAAAAACAACTGATACATATTATAGAAAAAATACTGGATAAATTAAGAGTTTTGTTGGAATATTTTGGCTCAAATATTGACGCTCAGGGAGGAGAATGATATAAAATGTTGATAACACCTCTATATAGTAGGTTAGGTTAGGTTAGGTTAGGTTAGGTTAGGTTAGGTTAGCGTTAGGTTAGGTTAGGTTAGGTTAGGTTAGCGTTTGTGTATTTATGCATCAGATGAAATAAGCTTTGGTGTTTATACTTCATGTGATAAATATTACAACCCAACATTATTATTAATACGACTTTAGTCACACAAACATTAATTAACTTTATTTATTTATTTACCAGACAATAATTTATGATTGATCTTCCAAACTGATCAGGATTTTCACACGTAATAATTCTAAACTATATACTTGTTTGCTTTTACACTCACCTTAAGTACAACACAGTTTGTTTACATCCTCACGTATCATCAGGGCTAGCAACTGATCAGAATTTTGCTATTTGTATATTAAGTAATTGTACGTCGGCAGGTTATGAAACGAGAGAATGGTTGGTATGCCTGGTGGTAGAGTGATTCGGTAATAATATATGTTGATCGTTATTATGTTATTTACAGGTGAAAAGAAGAAACCATTGTTCTGGTTTATAGTTCGTTACATCATCTTATTTATCATTTAGAACGTTAGAGAACTTTTTTGCTGTCTTCACTGAGGGAGATTATTACCGCAAGTGACACAGTTCACTCCTTGGCTCACTCTGTTGGGAACTAAACATTATTATTTACTTGGCCTTAAGGATATACCACTGTGTTCTATTGACAGTTATCAATGAAGTCTTTGGGTTACCTTAGATACCTGTGGCTTCCTTATTCTTTTTCTTGTTTCTTCTTCACATGCCCGTTTGCTCTGTCTGTCTGTCTGTCTCTGTTTCTGTCTGTCTGTTTCTGTCTCTCTGTTTCTGTCTCGGTCTATCTCTCTGTCTTGTCTTGTCTTTCTGTCTGTCTGTCTGTCTGATTTTGAATATTTCTCTCTCTCTCTCTCTCTCTCTCTCTCTCTCTCTCTCTCTCTCTCTCTCTCTCTCTCTCTCTCTCTCTCTCTCTCTCTCTCTCTCTCTCTCTCTCTCTCTCTCTCTCTCTCTCTCTCTCTCTCTCTCTCAGCACAACAACAGTAGCACAAAACCAAACAGAATTATTAAGCTGATATGTGAATAATTTTCCAGCTGGCTCAACGCTGCCAAGCTGGTAAATATTTAAACCCTGAAATTACCGTCTCCTCCACCACCTGTGCTACCAAGGCCACCTGTACCACCCTACACCATCTACACCATCCCTCCTAGTGTATATGTGTGTGTGAGTTAGGTGCGGGTGTTTGTTGCTTTATAAAAGATTCCCTCCATCGTACTGTAGTTTCCTCAGTTCGTGCGGAAGTTTTGTCAGGTTCCATACACACGCGAACGTTTTACAGCTGCACCAGTCTCATGCTGCCACGTCATGCTCTCCTGGCCAATTGCAAGTTAACTCGTCACACAATCGTGATCAATTACATGTTGTCTCGTCATAGTGTATTAGGCAATCACATGTTTCCACGTCACAGTGTATTAGGCAATCACACGCTGCCACGTTACACTGTATTTGAGAATCACACGTTACATCATCACGCATTCAAGATCATTACACGCTGTTACGTCACACAACTAGGACCAAGTTACACGCAGCCACGTAACACCGTCATGAGAGAACACCAACACCTGTTATGTGTAAGTGCCTCTACACTCACCCTGCCTCTACACTCACCCTGCCTCTACACTCACCCTGCCTCTACACTCTCCCTGCCTCTACACTCTTCCTGCCTCTACACTCACCCTGCCTCTACACTCTCCCTGCCTCTACACTCTCCCTGCCTCTACACTCACCCTGCCTCTACACTCACCCTGCCTCTACACTCTCCCTGCCTCAACACTCACCCTGCCTCTACACTCACCCTGCCTCTACACTCTCTTTCCACGCTCCCATTTTTTCTTCCGTCTCTTCACGACTCACTCACTTATTCTACCTTGTCACTCTTGCTGTCACTTTCGCTGTTACTCTACCGTCACTTTACCTGTCACTCTACTCTCCCACTCAGTCTCTCAGTGCCACTCACCTGGAAGACTGGGTGGCCAGCAGTAAGGTTGTGGCCCTGGGTGCCTGGCCTGGCCACCCTCAGCAGGAACACTTGTCTCAGTCCGCCGTCGAACCCCGCCTGACACGAGACCGAGAACCCTGACGACGTTTGGTTGTGTACTGAGCAGTTGGCTGGCGGGTCTGGCTTACCTGGGGGAGAAGAACCTGGGGTGAGTGATGTCTGGGGGAACACCTGGGGGCTCCTCTGTTACCTGGTGTCTGGGGGAGCACCTATGGGCTCCTCTGTCACCTGTTGTCTGGGGGAACACCTGGGGGCTCCTCTGTCACCTGGTGTCTGGGGGAGCACCTGTGGGCTCCTCTGTCACCTGGTGTCTGGGGGAACACCTGGGGGCTCCTCTGCCACCTGGTGTCTGGGGGAGCACCTGGGGGCTCCTCTGTCATCTGGTGTCTGGGGGAGCACCTGGGGGCTCCTCTGTCACCTTGTGTCCGGGGGAGCACCTGTGGGCTGCTCCGTCACCTGGTGTCTCGGGGAGCACCTGTGGGCTGCTCCGTCACCTGGTGTCTGGGGGAGCACCTGTGGGCTCCTCTGTCACATGGTGTCTGGGGTAGCACCTGTGGGCTCCTCCGTCACCTGGTGTCTGGGAGAACACCTGGGGGCTCGTCCGTCACCTGGTTTCTGGGGGGGCACCTGGGGGCTCCTCCGTCACCTGGTGTCTGGGGGAACACCTGTGGGCTCCTCCGTCACCTGGTGTCTGGGGGAGCACCTGGGAGCTCCTCTGTCACCTGGTGTCTGGGGGAGCACCTGGGGGCTCCTCTGTCACCTGGTGTCTGGGAGAACACCTGGGGGATCCTCCATTACCTGGTTTCTGAGGGAACACCTGGGGGCTCCTTCGTCACCTGGTGTCTGGGGGAGCACCTGGGGGCTCCTCCATCCTCTCTCGGGAACAGAACCAGTGACCTCTGGCTTGTGAGGCAAGTGTGCTAACCTTTTCACCACACCTCACACACATAATCTGTCTATATGTATACATGTATACTTATGTATGTATCACATGTGTACTTATGTATGTATCACATGTGTACTTATGTATGTATCGTACAAAGATAATATGATGGGGTGATAAAGACCAAATATTTAAGTACAATAACAATGATTACAAATAACATTACAGAATTTATACATTTATTAACAACAAACTAAAACAGCAACAGCGAGAAGCAACACAAGTAAACAAAGACCAACTCAACAAGATTTATTTTCAAGATGTACACTCGGAAACCATATTCTCTAGCCCACCTAGGTCGGTGCTGGAGGTTAGTACAGTGTCTTTTCTGGACGGGGGCCCACTCTAACTATCACGAGGCAACACACACACTAACACTCACACAGTCATAGTACAGCTGTATAGATGATATTATGTATAAATATTGTATATGGCATTTTATACTCTGCATTATCTTCATTATATATGAACACGAAGAAAAATTACCATAGGTTGTAGTTACGAAAGTATGAATGGAAATAAACACTTCCAAACCACCCAGTGAATCCACATGTCGTTTACAGCGCTTGTGGCCAGACAACGATGATTCCACCACACCCCATCTATATCTTTTATTTCCCATCATTCTCGTAACTGTATGAAAAATCGTGTTTAATTTAACTACATATTTCAAAAACCTTAAATTACATGTGGATCAGTCACTCCTCATTTGACACACTTATAGTGTAATACTTTGACCATCCCACCTGGGCACATGGAGGCTCACGGTAACTCTCACGGGGCAACATCCTTGCATTTGTTGAGAAGAGTTAAATATATATATATATATATATATATATATATATATATATATATATATATATATATATATATATATATATATATATATATATATATATATATATATATATATATATATATATATATATATGCAATTTATGCAAGTAAATCACTGTAGGTGCGCGTGGTCCAGGTATATGCTGATAACCACAAGGAAAGAAGAAAACACGAAGTTCCCAAGCGCTTTCGTGTAATTCACATCTTCAGGGGTGGGTACAGACTAAGGAGAAGTACAAAATTTCGTTGTTCATCTGATATCTGGTTTCTCTGTTTACATCTCCTAGACTAAGTACTTTCCATTTATCCACATTAAATTTCATCTCCCATTTTTCAGATCATTCGATTTTTTTTTTTTAGATCTTCCTGCAGTTTTGCGGAGTCCTCGTCAGATTAAAATTACACGCCCTATTTTAGTGTCATCAGCAAATTTACTTATGACACTACCCCAATCGGATTTAGTGACGTTAATGCTCACTCGCTGTTTCCAGTCCTGTAACCACGCACTAATCCATTTTAGAATATCTCCTCCAATGCCATGAGCCTCTACTTTTCGTATTAGTCTTTCGTGGCGGACTCTGTCGAAGGCTTTGCTAAAGTCGAGATATTCCACATTATAATTGTGCCCCTCGTCCACTGATTCGAAAACAGATGAAAAGAATGTTAATAGATTAGTTAGACATGAACGCCCACTTGTGAAGCCATGTTGGGAATCATTGATCAAATTGTGCTTCTCCAGGTGATTTCGAATAGAGTTTGAAATTATTGCTTCCAACAATTTGCCTACAATTGATGTTAAACTGATTGGACGGTAGTTAGAGGATAGCGATAGTGGCGGGTGTGTTGTGCTACCTATTTTAAGGTCAGCACCACCACTACAGTGTCAGCACGAGGTGTTCGCGTGTCAGACTCAGATTTTTTCTTAATAAATCACTCATGGACGCGTGAACACGAAGCCCCTTTTTTATAATAGTAATTGCCATGATTTTTTTATGATTTATTAATGTTGTTTCTCATGATTTTTCGATTCATGTTCGTGATGTCGTGTTGCTGTTGTCCTTAACTTACCTGTGTGTGCATGTGTGTGTGTGTGTGTGTGTGTGTGTGTGTGTGTGTGTGTGTGTGTCAGTCTTAACTCAGTATAACTCTCTGGCTACTGTGTACGTCTCTCCGGCCATCACCCAACACTCAACACGACAGACAGACTCCGAGGTACTCATGAGTGAACCTTTTCCTGTCATCTTCCTTCATGAGTAGTGACGGAGATCTCCTCCACCACCTGTTGGTCTATTAACCCCCGGAGCTACACCAGAGACCATCTTGGCTACACCAGAGACCATCTTGGCTACACGAGAGACCATCTTGGCTACACCAGAGACCATCTTGGCTACACCAGAGACCATCTCGGTTACCCCAGAGACCATCTTGGCTACACAAGAGACCATCTTGGCTACACCAGAAACCATCTTGGCTACACCAGAGACCATCTCGGTTACCCCAGAGACCATCTTGGCTACCCCAGATACCATCTTGGCTACACCAGAGACCATCTTGGTTAAGAAACCATCTTGGCTACCAGAGACCTCAGTTACCCACCATCTTGGCTACACCAGAGACCATGTTCCACCCAAACCATCTTGGCTACACCAGAGACCATCTCAGTTTGAGAGATATCTTGGCTACCCCAGATACCATCTTAGCTACACCAGAGACCATCTGGTTACACCAGCTACACCAGAGACCATCTTGGCTACAGAGACCATCAAGAGACCATCTTGGTTACACAAGAGACCATGGCTACAAGAGACCATCTTGGCTACACAAGAGACCATCTGGCTACACCAGAGACCATCTTGGTTACACCAGCTACACCAGAGACCATCTTGGCTACACAGAGACCATCTTGGTTACACAGGACCATCTTGGTTACCCCAGAGACCATCTTGTCTACACAGGAGACCATCTTGGCTACACCAGAGACCATCTTGGTTACACAGAGACCATCTTGGTTACCCCAGAGACCATCTTGGCTACACAAGAGACACAAGAGACCATCTTGGCTACACCAGAGACCATCTTGGTTACACCAGCTACACCAGAGACCATCTTGGCTACACCAGAGACCATCTTGGTTACACCAGAGACCATCTTGGTTACCCCAGAGACCATCTTGTCTACACCAGAGACCATCTTGGCTACACCAGAGACCATCTTGGTTACACCAGAGACCATCTTGGTTACCCCAGAGACCATCTTGGCTACACAAGAGACCATCTTGGTTACACCAGAGACCATCTTGGCTACACCAGAGACCATCTTGGCTACACCAGAGACCATCTTGGCTACACCAGACACAATCAGTCTCTCGTCTGGTTCCTAGTGACTGTTAACCGGTTAGACTGTCTGGAAATTTTATCAAGTCATCTTCTCGTATGATTTTTTTGTGTAATTCTCTTGAGTGCGATGACTTACCGTCTCTTGAGCACGATGACTAAACCACCTCTTGAGTACGATGACAACCTCCCTTGAGTACGATGACTTGACCACCTCTTGAGTACGATGACTTACCGTCTCTTGAGTACGATAACTTAACCACCTCTTGAGTACGATGACTTAACCACCTCTTGAGTACGATGACTTAACCACCTCTTGAGTACGATAACTTAACCACCTCTTGAGTACGATGACTTAACCACCTCTTGAGTACGATGACTTACCGTCTTTTGAGTACGATAACTTAACCACCTCTTGAGTACGATGACTTAACCACCTCTTGAGTACGATGACTTAACCACCTCTTGAGTACGATGACTTACCATCCCAGGGTAGAGTGTCGTATTCTGGAGAGATTGGGTCATCGTACTCAAAGGGTTTAATAATATACTCAGTGGCTTGTCATCGTACTCAAGGTGTTAAATACCTTACTCATTGGACTAATAATTTGTACTCATCGATTTGGGTTCGTACTCAAGTGGTTAAAATACCCTACCCAATGAACCAAAACATTGTACTCATGGACTTGGTATCGTACTCAAGGGGTTTAAATACCTTATTCAATGAACTAAAACATTGTACTCATGGACTTAGCATCGTACTCAAGGAGTTAAATGTACTCAGCATCGTACTCAAGGGGTTTAAATACCTTATTCAATGGACTAAAACATTGTACTCGTGGACTTGGCATTGTACTCAAGGGGTTAAAATACCCTACCCAATGAACTAAAACAATGTACTCATGGACTTAGCATCGTACTCAAGGAGTTAAATGTACTCAGCATCGTACTCAAGGGGTTAAATGTACTCAGCATCGTACTCAAGAGGTTTAAATACTTTATTCAGTGGACTAAA